ATAAAAGAATAAAATACCTTTAATATTATATAATTAACTAAGCTATAGATTATAGAATAATAAAATATTAAAACTTTAGTCTTTGTAATAATACCTCTATATATATACTTTTTCTATTATATTATCCTTTCTATTTCTATTTTTATTTCTATTTCTATTTATATATCTATTTTTTCCTTTTAATTTCTATTTCTTTTTCTATTTCTATAAAAATTTCTATTTATATTTATCTTTAGATTTCTACTTATATTTGTATTTCTATCTAGATTTCTATTCTTATTATATAGGTTTAAGTAAATCTAGAATTCCTAAACTTAATTTAGAGTATATATAGTATCTAATATATAATACTAAAGCTAGACTATAATATACTTAATAAGCTCATCTCTATATCTATTATTTTTTTCTAAGCTCTTTTAGCTTTAGTTAGTATAAAGCTAACTTTACTACTAATTTTCCTTTTTTCTTTTCTATTAATCTACTAATAATTTTACAGTATAAGCTAGTATATAAAAAAAGTAAATTCTATTACTAGAATATAATAATCTTTATTTCTAAGAAGTACAAAAGTCTATATTTAGAAGTATAAATATTAAGTAGACTAGAACTTCGACTTCTAGTACTACTATTTCTTATATAGTAGTTAAAGCTTTTTTAATCTTAATCTAGTAAAGTAACTATTTTATTAATACTAATATCTACTTATAGTAAAAGAAGTTATAATATAATTCTATATATTTAATACCTTAAAAATAACTAAACTATAAGTTATTAGTAATAAATTACTAAAGTATTTAGTAAGTAAATTTATACTTTAACTATAAATATATTTTTTATCTTTATTCTACTACTTTAAATAAATAAGAAATTTAAGAACTAATTAAAATTGTAAATAGTAGCTTAAATCTAATACTAAAGCTTTACTAATTAAAGAAGCTTTTAATAATATTTCTACTTATCCTTCTTTTATATATTCTAAAAGTATTAGTAAGTTTAGAGGTAATTTTATTCCTAGTTATTTTACTTTACTACTTTTATATCTATATTAATTATATTTTAATTATATATTATATAACTACTTACTTAAGCTTTTGTAAATTTTTCTAAAGCTACTATTTAGAAGAAAGCTTTTAGTTAAGCTATTTTAGTAATTATTATATAAACAATTCTTAAAACTATTATAAATACTATTATTAAAGCTTTTAAAACTTACTTTACTTATTCTTTTATATTATATTTTATAAGTATTAATACTATTATACTACTATAAAGACTATTAATACTATTATATTACTATAAACACTATTAATAAGTAGACTAACTCTTTTTATAGTTTATTTTTATAGCTAAGCTTTTAAGTATATTTCTACTAATATATAAGAGTTTCTTCTTAGACTATACTTTATTAATATTAAAGAATAAATAAAGTATTATATTACTAGTCTAACTCTTTTTATTTAAAGTAATTTTATTTAATTAATTATTTATTACATTTCTACTTATAACTACATATATAAAATTGAATTAGAGACAACTTTACTTCTGTATATAAAGGTAGCTATTATATACCTACGTAAAGAGTATATTAGAATTCTTAACTAGAGTAATAATTAATAAACTAAAAAAAAAAAAGTATTTTACGCTTATATCTAGTATAATAAAACTATTAAGTATAGTAGCTATATTAGTACTTTACTATTATAGTTACTCTTAGAAACTAAGCTATAATATATAAAGTAGTTATCTATATAAGCTTAAGACGTTTTAGATTAATAGCTAAAAATTAAATATAGTAAGATATTTTAAAATATTTCTTTTAGTAAGACTTAAATAGTAATTAGTTATTAGTTTATATAAAAGCTTTAGTAGTAATAGTAATATATACTATATATATTAAACTTCTAGAATTCTTAAATCTTCTAGTAGTTTTAAAATAATTTAGAAGCTAAAGATTAAAATCTAAGTAATTCTATATAAGATAGAATTAAGCTACTCTACTCTTCTAGCTTTACTAGAGAGTAGTAATAGCTTTTTTAAGATACGCTGCGCGCTAGCTACTAGCGCAGCTCTCTAATTAGCTATATATCTTACTTTACTTAAGTATATAGTAGGTAGACGTAATATATTATATTAGCTTACTACTATAGCGCACGTACACGCGTAATTATCTTAAGTTTTAATATTTTTTACTTACTTACTTATAGTAGTAACTTAATATAAGTTTTATATCTACTTACTACTATAGCTCTAAAACACTAACCTCTATAATAAGGTTAGTATAACTAGCTAATAAGATTATAGCTTTAATCTACTAATAAAAGCGTCTACTCTTAATCTATTCTAATCTAACTTAAATAGTCTACTTATACGCTAGTAACGTAGCGTTACTTATAAAGTAATTAAATATCTTTTTACTAAATAGAAACTTTATATTAATTTTAATATAGTAATAATAAATCTTAATTATATAAAACTACCTTATAATATTTAAAACTAAGTCTACTAATAAATTAAATAATCCTAAGCTAAGTAAAGATTACTAGTTTTATTATAACAACTCGCTTAAATTTACAATTCTCTAGCTTATTACATCGTAGTATACCTTGATCAACTCTAGTTGCTAAGTCGCAGATTGCGATCTAATCTTTGACACTTCACGCCACCCATACATCTCGAATTCCAGAACTACGCGACATACCATCGCACCAGCAAGAAACCTTCCAACAACCTCCAGCGCCGTAAACAGCGACAGGAACAACTCGCTCGAGAGTACCATCGTTCCATAGATGACCTGAACCCAGACTAGAAGTCTTATCGCCCAGTCAATTACCAACATCCAGTATCTTGTGCTTTTCGCCAGATATTGCCTTTTCTTTCTTCCGATACCGTTTGCGCTAAACGCTAACGGCGTCACCTCTCTTATGAACCATGTCCTCACGGGCTCTAATGCTGGAGGACACGAAGCGACCAATGGGGGATGAGGTGGAGCCACCTGCGATGGAGAACGCCTTGTGGTGTCGCTACCGAGATAGAGAACACACATGCCGAGCGCCTGGATGGGAAGTGGAAGGAACACCCAGAGGAGCGGGGAGAACCCTTCAGCCGTGTTCCCAAATGCTCCAACGAGTGTTGAGATGAAGGAGATAGCCCAGAAGCTGAGCTGCCACCCCTGAATGACCGAGTTCGCCGCTGCTGTACCGACGAGAAGGTATTCAACCCCTGATATTAAGAATTTTACCCAAGAAGGGGGCGTAAGTAGCTTCTCTGGCCAGAGGACCTCATCTTCTCCCCCGACAGATGCATGCCCCATGTTTCTTACGGTCTCCAATCCCGAACGATCGGTCTCCAGCGTCGGACAGGAGCTGCCCAAGCAGATCAGAGCTGCCAACACCGGACGCTGCATACCCAGAATCGCGAGGTCAGCCACCTTTGGTCCGACAAATTGCAGGGCCATAGGTAATAGGCCCAGTACGACGGATACAATTGCCATCTCCGTCTTTCGAATCTCGGTGAAGTTTTCCAGTATGCAGGACACCAGCACCCAGCCACCTCGCCCTGGATCAGCTTGCAGTTCCGTCCATTCGGCTGCGCAAATGCCGTTCATGAGTTCTTGCAAGACATCATCCCAAGCCCCTGCCGCGTAAAACTGTCTGAACTGCCCGTTGTCGTATGCAAGGACAGGCGCATATGATGAGCAGATGATTGAACCAACTAGGGTCTTCATTATGTCGGAGAGACACCCAACTAAGGGGCCAGAGTTAGGAAAGTTTGATAATGCTGTCAGCATGTGGCTGTTGGCGCGAAATCTATAAATGCTGTAAGTCAACAGCAAACGGGACGGTCCGCGTCGGGAGGCCACATAGTAGAGCTGAGCATCCGAATGGCTTCATCAGCCGACATGTAGCTGAAGCGGCCCCCTCAGCCGTACCTTCGGTATGTGGAGGAGAGACATTTCATTCGACGGTGAGCAATTTGTGATGCAGGTCAGTGGCGCTGTGCTACCATCCGAGCGTCATCCCCACCAATAGTTGAACCCCAGCATATCGCCGCAATATCCAAATCGGGCATGTCGGCGATGATAGGTTGTCCATTTGCCTCGTTGGGTGTGCATGAAAGCTATATCAACGAACCAGTGGATGCGCCCTCGGCTGGAAACAAGGTCAGATCTCACCTTGCGCCAGCGGTCCATCCCTGTAGCTATTGTACGACTGAAGGAACCTGCGCGTCAGTCGATAAAGTGGTGCATGCTTTGAGAGACGCAACATGAAGTGACATCTAACAGGTGTCGCATACGGTGACATGTTGCTCAAATACCATAAGTTTGCGAGTGATGAAGTTCGAGACTCTTGCTGCGACTCCATTGTGGGTACATGATCTCGTTCTCTCTAGAGATCCAATCTTTGGCTCGTTACTCGTTCATGCTATTTCGGCTATCGAGAGATAGAAGGTCCAATCGCGGGTAGCAATGCGTCGCGCTCTGCGAGGCTGTCGGGAAACCTCAAAACTCTTAGTTCGGGTGGCGATTCGTCACGTTCTGGTGGAGTTGGTAGGTACGGATCGAGCGCAATACCGCTTCCCAGAATCTCTCATAGTGTTAACACAAAGCGAACAAGAGTTGGCGAGCTCATGGTACGCCGGCTACGCTGGGGTTGCGAGTCGATAGCGACAGGATCTGACATGTTGGGACGCAAGGTTCCGCGAGAGACAAGGTACTTTATTGTGACTGGACAGATGGACTGCCAGGATGTTTGTGTACGCACACTAAAAGTTGACACCTCGAAACCGTGATTTGTTGCTGCGTTGGTAGCGTGCACATCCTTCGCACAATCCATGCTTCCCTAGGCTGCGCTGATATGTAATAATGCTACTATCCTACATAAAGTCCGTAGTTTGTTATCCTACACCCTGTCAAACCAACGTTGGAGAAGCCACCCACCTAACTGAACATGATGGCCTTTATCCGTGAACGCCCCTGTCAACCCTTTTCAAATACCTGTCCTTTAGATGGCACCATTGTAAATATCCCTCAAAATCGGTCTGCCATCCAGCACGCCCCTCTTTCCTGCTGTGATGACTTTGCCGGGTATCCTCTTCTCTTCAGGACTTCCACTCGTGCTTTTACTGCCAATTCTTCTCTTTGGACTCCTAGCGTTCACTTTACCAGGTTTCGCTGTGAGATCGCCAAGTGCCTTGCGCTTCTTCGACGGGCTGGGCGTCAGGCTAGGGCTCTTCGCCATCTTGTTGGCGAACAAGGAAGAGGTCGACTGTCTCACAGGTGTCTTGCTTGTTTGTGTGATGCTTTCGTCGAAACTATGCGATTCGACCATATCGGGTTGGAGATCAAGTACCCAGTCTTTCTCTCGGCAGAGGGCGACCATATCACGCAAGAGCTCGTTGCTTGACAAGGTCTTCTCACTACCGACGATCACAAGTTTCGATCGCGCGCGTGTGAGCGCAACATTGACGCGCCTACGATCTTTTAGAAGATCACCGACTGTGCCGTTCTCGTTGCTCCGTACACAAGACACGATAACGACTTCCTTGTCGCGGCCTTGAAACTTGTCTGCTGTATGTAGTTCCACACCCGCACAGCCTTGGCCGTTGATGACGGGGGCAGCGAGTTCAGAGGATTGAGTTTGGGTGTGTGCAGAAGCCAGACTTTGTCGCAGCAGGGCGAGCTGTGAACGATAGAATGCTATGATGCCAATCTCTCCCGCAGGGACACCTAGGCTGAGAAGAGACACCGTGAGCTGTGTGACAAGCCGTGCCTCCAGGGTGTTGGTGATGCGCGACCCAGATTGCGCTTCTAGGGTTGATGAAATGAGATCGGTGTTGACGAACACAACAGGTTGATCCGGCGACAAGGAACGAGATATCCAACAACGTGCGGTATTAGGGCCAACGCAAGGCTCTACCTCATTAGATCTTGACTGATGCGAGCCATGGTGGTAAGCAGTCAGACCGTCGGGCCGGGGGAGGGTAAGCTTGCGGGAAGCGACAGCAGTCGTACCGCACTTCAGCCTTCCTGAGTAGATAAAAGTGTTTGACAACAGCATGACTTCAGCACACATTCGATACTGATGCTCCAAACTAACGACGGCCTGTGGATGAGCCTCGCAAAGGAGCTTAAACAGTGACACATCAAGTCCGCCCTCCATGGCTTCCTTGTTCTGGACCAGTGGGGGCAGCTGGTAATGGTCGCCCACCAAGATGAACTTCTGAGCCATACGAATGGGCCCCAAGCATACAGGTAGAGTGATTTGGGATGCTTCGTCAACAATGCAGTAGTCGAAGACGCGGCGGTTGAACAAGGGATGATTGATGGTCAGACACGTTGTAGCCACGACTGGCGGCTGCATCCACGATCTTTCGAGCTCTTCGAGACTGTCTTTCGGTTCCGCCGCAAGCGTGGCAAATTCTCTAACTTCAGGATGGATCTTCTTCGCAGCACCCAAGCGTAGTATGCCGATCTTGTCATCTCGAATCTTGAGAAGGATGTTGTCGACGGCAGTATGGGTGTACGAAGTAAGTAGGACACTCTTGCCTTTCGCCACTAGGGTACGAATGATGTGCGCGATCGTGGTGGTTTTTCCAGTTCCAGGCATGCCCAACACGAGGGCATAATCTTTTGCAGACATGACCTTAGCAACGGCAGTGCGCTGATCAGAGTTCATGGACATTTGCGATGACTGAGGCAATGACAGCGCATCTGGTACGGGCTTGAACGCAGGAGCTCGACCGTCTACGATTAGCGCGCGAAGGTCGTGGGCCTTGTATACACTGTCGTCCATGATCTGGATGAGATTGTTGCGTGCTGCAGCCATACCATTGCTGAATTCGTCTTTGTCAAGACGATACAGTACGGGCTCCTCATCAGATTGAAATTCCGCCACAGTCTCGCCTTCTTTGGTAACCTCCATGATACCAGCAAAGGTTTGGTTGTTTTGTGAATGGAAACCGGGTAGCTTGGTTCGAGAATTGTGCAAACGTTTGTCAACAGCGACAGTTATACGACGCTTTTTCACGTTGGTGACGTATCCGTTAGCCAACGCGAAATGGCCTTCCTCATCCGAAACTACAACAGGCTCTCCGATGATGAGCTGAGACTCGGTGAAGGAAAACCCTGGAGCCGGCTGCTGTTTGATAAACGTGTAGTTGTAGCGGTTGATCTTTTGGCCGTTCTTGTCTTCATGGGCAGATCCAGGCTCCAAGATGACGTTCGAGAAACAACGACCGAGCTTTTCCCGTTCGGTGCTCAACATGGTCCACAACTCTCGTCGAAACTTCATCATATCCGTCTCTTCTTTGGTCAACAGCGTGTCCCACTTCTTCATGAACTCTTGATGGGAAGGTTGGAGAGGCTTCACGAGCTCGTCATATCTTTCTTTCGCCTTCGGGTTCAACATCTCGCCTTTTCCATCCTCAACGAGATTATGATACAGGAAGCAAGGTTCCTGTGCGTAACACTTTTGACACTTGAAGTCTTCCTTCAGAATCGGTGGCAACTCGATGCGATCTCGAACATAGCAGGCCAACTCATTGCGCTTGATGATCATGTGAATGATGTCGTTGCGAATCGCAGGAATACGGCTGATTTCGGAAGTCTCAAGGTAATACAAGATACCGTAAGCAATGTCAACGTCTGGCAAAGTTAGCGGGGGATGCAATCTGGCTTGGAGGACGTACCATATCGATTCGACAACAATAGGTTGTACAAAGCGGTCTGAGCAACGTGTGCAGCGTTCGAAGAGTTCTTGCCAGTCTTGACTTCGAAAGGCACTGTCAATGTGCGTTCCCCGAGATCATCGCGCATTGTCACTTGCACAGTAGCATCGATGTTGCCTTTCAATCCATACATTGGAGACCAGACGTGCTCTTCCACATCAAGTAGTTTGTTAATGCTCATGGTCGACTGACGTCCGTTTCGCTCTCGAACGACGGCATCAGCTTGAGGTTCTGCGCGAACGAACACCTTAGCCCATGCCTGTAGCTCCGGCAGCTTGCTGCTCAGATGCTCCTTGACGGCTTCGCACGTTGAATTGATCTCCAGTATGGTCTCGAGATGGTTCGGTAAGAGCGTTTCGATGGTGTCCAATAAGAATACAGAACTCCATTCGTTCGCTTTCATGGCTTTTTGGAACAACTCGTGGAGCAGTGTGCCGTAGAGCATTGGGGCGTTCGCCTTGCTTGTGGCCTTTACACGGTCTTGCAGCACCGCACGTCGTAAACACCCAAAAGAGTCAGCGACAACAGTCGATGAGATGAGATGATCAGGATGAAGAATGAGCATGTTGTGGTGATCATCAATGATACACTGTCCAGTACTTGTAAAGTCACCGATGACATGCACAAACGATCCCGTAGTGCATGGGGTATCGAACCAAGCTTGACGTAGAGTGATCGCCTTGAATAACTTTGTCTTCTCTTCCTCGACGAGCAAAACCTACACGGTGTAAGCTGGGGCAGGCAAAAAACGTTTGGGTTAGTGACTTACCTTTTCGGACATCTGGTAGCCGCGATCAGTGGTATATGAACTTTCGTCCACTCGCTTGATAAGGTAGCGCTGGATTGCTCTATTATCCTGTTGACTCTTCGAGATTTAGTAGGCTTCTTTAATCAGGGGCAAGTTCACACTCTACTTACAGTATTGGCAGGTACTTGGGTGGCTGCAACTTCGGCGGCAGCGAACTCGTCAGCATCAATGTCCTCTCCAAAGTCATCGTCGTCATCATCGTCCAAAAGACTAATCACAGGTGCTGATACTGCACTTGCGGTAGCTCCTGCGCCTTCGGCCTCTGCGGTCTGGCTCTGATCTGCCATTGGAGACTCTACAGATCGCGTATCGTACAGCGATGCTACATGTTCCAGATCCGCAGCGAAGTCGTCCTCGTCATCCATGCCAAACTCATCGTCGTCACTGCCTTGTTCTGGTGCTGGGTCTGCATAGTGATGTTGTGCGGGTGGATGGATGGGCTCGGTGGGTATGGTAACGTAGCTCGTGGAGCGTGCGGGTGGCGCGGACTTCGTGGGCGGTGGAGTTTGCACAGGTCGAGGCGATATGTCCAAAGCTTCCACCATGTCGGCGTCGAAGTCATCTCCGAAATCATCTGAGGATCCCTGCGATGCCGGTGGCTTCGGTGCCGCTTCCACGTAATCGTCTTCTCGAACGAGCTCGTCATCCATGTCCACGGTATCTTCTAGAGGTGCCGACTCGTGGCGTATTGTTTCGGAGGTTTCTGCCAGATTGTCGCGTGCACGCCGCTGGAGAGGAGAGCCCGACGATTGGTCCTGGCGATCGCCTGCCCCTGGTAACGGAGATGAGCTCGAGGGCATCTGTGACGATATGCGTGGCTGTGACTTCGATACGCATTCCCTCATGCGCTGGACCATGCTCGCAATGTTGGGTTTCGCGGGCTGTCCAAGCATGATTCCATTCGAACTAGATGCGCCAGCGAAGACGTCCTCTGTAGCTTCCTGCTCCGGCTGGAACACACCGTGGGTTCTCCGTTTCTTCCGGGTCGATGCTGGGAACTCTACGCCACAGCTTGCCCATCTCCGAAGTCCACTGACACTTCCAGCAGCAGCCATCGACCTAGGTGACGATTCGTTGATGAGATGTGCAAATGCCACGCTCTTGTTGGCGCTTGGTGTTCCCTTGTTGTTCGTGTACCGTGACCACAGCTCCATGGCAGGATCGGCCTGGGGTGTTGTGATGTCTTGCCTCGCACCGTCCAGTCTGTGTTCGTCTTGCGACGGTCCGACGGGCGAAGAGCTCCGAGCGCGTTTCTTGTTCTTCCGGGGCAAAGGCGTGTTGACTGCTTGCGAGCCTCTCCATATCAGCGTCTCTTCGGGCGAGGCGACAGGTTGCGGCGCGTGTCTCGAGGAATCGTCGACGTTGCCTACCAGATCCGCAAGCGGCAGCCTCGTAGTGGCGGGAGTTGATGGCGGCGGACAATCGAGAATGGTGGGCAGCTTTGGAGTCTTGTTCGTGGTTCCCACATCTTTCGCGACACGATTCGCCTTTGGTGTCCCCATGGGCTTTGGTGTCTTTCCGCGCGCGGTCGGTAGATTTTCCTTCTCCGCCTCGCGCTGTCGGAGGGATTCCGCGGTGGGCGCGCCCTCGATGAATTGGAAAGCTTTGAGCTTGGTACGTGTCTGGGTCGAAGGCATGATGGGAGGGCCAGTAACTACCTGCCGAGCCTGCGGCGCCGCCTGGTTACTGTTTTGGTGGGGGAAGTTGCGTGGGCGGTTCCATTGGCCCTTGAACTGCTGCTGCGAGGGTGAGAGGTGAGTAGGCGGCGGCAGTGAAGGCAGCGGGCTATCCAAGTACCTTTGGCTTCGGGTTCTCGTCAAAGAAGGACCTCTGTCGCGTGGACATGGAGATGGTTGGTAGCGTCAACGTCTCCAGAGCACCGAACGCGAGAGACGCGTCGTGAGTGGCCAATCACGTTGGGCGAGGCGAGAGCTCGTGGCGATACGCGCTCGGGCCGGCTGCTGCGAGCCGATGTGCGACACAGCTCCGAGTGCGGGGACCTGAAAGATACAGTCACGGAATTGACACGACTTGGCGTATCGCAGGTAGCTCCGCGTATCACAAAAGTAGCAAGACATGTCTAGAGGCAGGGACGGGTCAGATAGTCGCTTTTGCGCCAATCGAAATGGTGTCAACCGATGACGGGAAGCTAGGACCACGCCTAAGCGGAGTTTGGACATTCATCCCACGCTCTAGCACTCTTTCCCCAGATTGTGCGCGCCGACCGTGAATCGCTCACCCAACAGCGGCCATCTCTCTTCTCTTCCCCTCAGCCACCTCATTACCTCCCACCACAACCGCCAACATGTCTGCTGCCGACGCGAAGCCATTGCCTTTTGTCTACCAGTTCGCGGCTGGTAAGTTCCAATTCTCGTAACACCGCTCAGCTCCGATGCGACAGCTACCCGAAAGAAATCCGGCTCCGCACCAAGCAAGAAATCTATACGCGCTTCTCTCCGATTATCGCACAGGGCATTCCTGCGTGCCAGTTGAGCTTCAGCTATGTCAATCAGTGCTAACAATGTCCAGGTGCCGTGGCTGGTGTGTCAGAAGTGAGTGCGCAACTGTCTATGGAGCTCGCGTGAGATCAACTGTGCTAATGCAGCTCTTGTAATAGATCCTGATCATGTATGTACCACCCTGCACCCACACAGTCGAGGCTCAAGCACTAACACTATCTCAAGGTACCCGCTGGACGTCGTCAAGACCCGGATGTAAGCGACCGCCTATGACACCGCCTCTGGACCGCCTCTAAACATGCGCAGACAACTTCAGACCTCTGGCAAGGTGGTCGGTGACGAGGGCTACAATGGCATGATGGACTGCTTCAGGAAGATCATCAAGAATGAGGGGTACGCTATGACGCTCCTGCGATCATGAGCAAGAGGGGTTGACATCTGCCAGTGCGTCGAGATTGTACCGCGGTATCACCGCGCCTATCCTTATGGAAGCTCCCAAGAGGTACGCGCTTCCCTGCTTCTTCATACCAACAAAGAAGGAAATCATCTCACGCGACACAGGGCCACCAAGTTCGCAGCCAATGACTCATGGGGTTCCTTCTACCGCAACCTGTTCGGTCAGGCTAAGATGAACCAGTCGCTCTCCATCCTCACCGGCGCAACCGCCGGTGCCACCGAAGCCTTCGTCGTCGTACCCTTCGAGCTCGTCAAGATTCGGTTACAAGACAGGGCGCAAGCCCACAAGTACAACGGCATGGTGGACTGCGTCACCAAGATCGTCAAGCAGGAAGGGCCGCTCACCCTTTACCAGGGTCTTGAGTCGACTATGTGGAGGCACATCCTGTGGAACGCTGGATACTTTGGCTGCATCTTTCAGGTCCGCGCTCTCCTGCCCGCAGCAACCACCAAGAAGAGCCAAATCACCAACGACCTCATGTCTGGTGCTATCGGTGGCACTGTCGGCACCATCCTAAACACTCCCATGGACGTTGTCAAGTCGCGTATTCAAAACTCTCCTAAGGTCGCAGGATCGATTCCCAAGTACAACTGGGCATGGCCGGCTCTCGGTACGGTCATGAAGGAGGAGGGTTTCGCAGCACTATACAAGGGATTCACACCCAAGGTCCTGAGATTGGGACCTGGAGGCGGTATCTTGCTGGTCGTCTTCACCGGTGTCATGGACTTCTTCCGCAACATGCGCGACGGCAAATAAGCGATGACCAGACTCGTCGTCAGTACGTGTAGTCTTTGGATTACTTTAACCGTTCAAGAGCCTCTAGGAATCTTGCAATGTAGATTACGTATCCTGTACCCGCTTGCTACAAACCAAGGCAGGGTGAAATCACATTCTTCAACCCATGTTATGACACGATGAACTCGTGCTAGCCATTTTGTTACTTTTGAGAGCATTGCTCTACTCTCCGATCATACATGAGCTTTACTAGATGGTATCGTCACTTTCGTTGTGGAAATGCATGAGATCAGCACTTTTCATACATCTAGCCCTGGAGAGCTGCCAGTAGAAGGGTTCCACTAACGTCAAGTTCGGCCTGAGTCTACGTGCGCGAAAGTTCAAACAGCTTCTCTAATGGCTTGCGCTATCCCCCACGAGTAGAATATCGCACCCCGAAACCAGCGCAGTCTAACACATGCCAATCCCGCGTTCTATCAACCCCAAACAACCCCACTTACGCGGCTAGACACGGGTGACGTCACCCTCCCCTCCAAGCCCTCACCATAGCCCATCTTGCTGCCTGGTGACCCCTAAAGCCCAAACAAACAAGTTAGTTCACCAGTTGACGCAAGTGCCAGCCAGGGTCTTCTTGCATAAGTACTGCGTCCCCTCTACCCCACTATCCAACCACGAAACTATCCAAACACTACAACAACTTCCACGATAAGACATCTCTCGAAACTCCGCGCAAGCAAACACGTACATCCACACAGACTCTACACCACCCGAACACCACCGCACAACATGCCTCTCGTAGTCCCCGGTCTGCAGTCCAAGGACGGAAACTCCAACGATGACTGGATGAGCAAGCTCATGGGCAAGAAGCTTGGAGACCAGCATGACGAGATGGTGAGTTGCCTCTTACTATAACTTATCCCCTGATCCTATCTCCCTGTTCTGTGCACTGAACCTCAGCGCTAACTCAACGCCACTCGCAGACCTTCGCAAAGACCGACCTCCCCCAGCAACACCGCGTTCTCAACGAAGGCGATGCGAAGACCATGGACTTCCAGCCCGAGAGGCTGAACGTTCACCTCGATAAGGACGGTACCATCAAGAAGGTTACCAAAGGTTAAACGGTTGTCCTATGGCACCGTCGTTGGGTGTGAGGGCACACCTATGATGGAAGAAGGCATGAAGGCATGAACCTTTGAGAGCCAGGCCCCAGGTCTTGTTAGTAGGCATATCAGAATATATCAAGTCACAGAAGTATAAGCCATCAGTGCGCTTGCAGTGATCAATGATAAGTGATAAGTGATAAGTGATAATTAATGAGAGTGTATCTGAAAAGAGATATCTGTCGCCACCTCCCCGACTAAAGTAAACAACAAAACGCCGTAAACGCCTTACAATGATATCGTACAGTAAATGTGAAAGTATATACATCCGTACAAAGAAAGTAGATGTCACGCCTAAATACCCACGAATGTTTTCGAGATAGTAGAAGAGTAAGGCTGCGCCTTGTCAGCCTTGGACTTAAGCCCTACAGCCCTATATGAGCACGGATACCGATTCGAGGTGGAGCATTCGGAGACGCCGAAAGACATTGCCACTGTGGAGAAAGCTTGTCGCAACGTCGTTTCCTTGGGGTTGTGCACACGGTAGTTCTTCAATTTCTCGATCGCTTCCTTGACACGAAACTGTCGTTCCTTATCATCTGTCCCTCAGCAGATTTCCTGCCTAAGGCTGCAACGACATCGGTCATTCTCAGCATCGTGGAATGAATTGCTTCCGGATGTTCGAAGCAGAGCATGATGCATGCCCGCATAGTCGTTGCAGAGAAGTATCTTCTCAGCTTATTGTCTTTGCTTTTGTTGCTTGCAGCTCCCATGACCAGACCAATCCATAGCAGCACTCCAGCCATATCGGACCAGCAGTCTGTGATGTCGGATTTTTCGAGGGCTTCTCGCAGTTGGCGAAGCAGGGTGTCTCCGCTGACTGTTCGTGTGAAAACTTGTTGTTGAAGGGGGACGTCCGATGAGCTTGATTGCAATGTCGAAAGTAAGGGTCGTGAGAATGTGGATGAGTTTGATAAGCGATGGTTAAAAGGAAAGCCTTCGCTGTTTGAACCAAACATTGGACTCTCGGAAACATCGGTAGCCGGACTGACGTCCCGGAGTTCAAAGGTCGAGGAGATAGAGTCATTGGAAAATGAGGCCGCGGACGAGCTCAGCTCATACATGGCCGGTTGCAATTCCGGTACCTGCACACGGTCGAGCGCCTCTGATAAAGGTACTTGGTCAAACATGGCCTGAGCCTGTACAATCGCTGCAAGGCGAATCGCTTCATACTTCCAGTCAATCTTATTTAAAATGGTCGTTCTGCGAGATTGTTGTACAGACCGAGATCCAATGATGCGGTCGTAAGCGCTTCGCGACTTGTTAGAGATACCTGCACGCCTCGAGCTATTGGTATCAAGCAAGTCTTCCATCATCGTGCGAACGTCTTCCAGGAGTTTCTGCGCATTGGTATTACAATTTGCCGACCTCTCGATCGTCACGAATTTGCCGTGTGGATGATATAGTGGCGATTCCGGTATCGTAGCGATCAAAGGATATGTTTTTATCGCCTGCATCTCGCAGTGGTCGACGTACATCGGAGTTGGTGGGGTTTCTTGTAAAACTGCAGTCGCAAGATTTGCCCATGAGACTGCAGATGCTAGCTGACCATTCACACCCAAGTTTCGGAGCCCGCCGCGTTGGTTAATCATCGTTGCAATTCCGTTCTGATGGAAGCGTAGACCTACGTCGGTCCGACTTATGACATCTCCCAGTATAAGTTGGCTGACGGCAATGATGTTGTGGTCTGCGACACTCTGCTCCGTGTTCGTAAGATTTCCACCCACAAAATGTATGACATCCTGACGCAGGGCTGCCGTCTCCAAACTCTCTACTTCGCGCTTGTGGATGACATCATCGTGTGCGGAAGCCATGTAGAGGGTGCTGAGGAAGGTGTGTGGGTGGTCAAGACATTCAGGAATCCAGTGTTTTCCCAGACCCTGCGTGCCGAAATATCTGGAGCATTTGACCTTCAATTTTTCGACCTTCACGCGAGTGTTTCTCGATTGGAACATGGTCATGAAAGGGTCGAGCCCATTCCCGAGACAGTGCAATTCTGGCACTGGACGTTTGTCGAATGGAAAAACGCGATCA